GATCAAGGGCCCTCCCATTGAGAAGAGATTAGCAGGCCAGGGCAATATGACACCTAGGAAGGTGGGTAACATATAGAGGGAATCCTATAGTAGTATTTGAGTGCTCTAACTCAAAGCAGCTTTCAATTGTATTCAGCTCTAAGCTGTGCTGCATTTACATTTTATTGTCTCAGAGTCTTCAAGTTTAAAGTGTGGTGGGATGGCGGGGAGAATCAGTGCTCATGTTTGGTATGAACAAGTATAGGAAAGTATACTTTCTGAAAGGAAAGGGGTTGAATGAATTTATATACCGTATGAACATTACCTGGAAATTGTCAGAGATTCTTAAAGTTAACCTAGTAAAGCCAAACAACCCAATTGCTTATGCATTGTTATTTATTATTAAAAAAAAAAAAAAGTTTTTTGACAAAGAGTCTCGTTGTTGCCAGGGTGGAGTGCAATGGCACAATCTCAGCTCGCTGCAACCTCTGCCTCCTGGGTTCAAGCGATTCTCCTGCCTCAGCCTCCTGAGTAGCTGGGATTACAGGCACCCACCACCACACCCAGCTAATTTTTGTATTTTTAGTAGAGATGGGGTTTCACCATTTTGGTCAGGCTGGTCTCAAACTCCTGACCTCAGGTGATTGACCCCACTCGGCCTCCCAAAGTGCTGGGATTACAGGCATGAGCCTCTATGCCTGGCAAGTTTTTATTTTTTTAGGGGGAGAATACGAATGAGGAAGAAGAGGAGGGGAAAGAACAGAGGAAGGAAAGGGGAGAGAGGGTGAGGTAAGAGAAGAAAGGGGAAGAAGAAGAGGAAGTGACAAAGAACTATGTGGCGCAATCTCGGTCACATATTTTTATTTACAATAACAAAGTAAATACTTTTGTGGATGAATCCTTTATAGGAAAAAATGTGTTGACTTGTGGTCTTCTAGACTATTAAATGGATCTTGTCCTTTGGCTGTGTCTGAGGCAGGTGGCTAGAATTCAGTAGGAGGGAAGACATCTGGCAGGCTGAGAATTTTGAACTGGGGCCTCAGGAAAGTAACGGAATCAGGACTAAAAAACATATATATTTGGCCCTCCCCTGTCTTCTATTAATATTCCTTTTTGTACACTGTTTCAGTCTTGTTCTACAGAACAATACTCATTTCTTCTGCTTTTCTTTTTCACACAGTAAGTAGACATCTATTTTTATCTTACTTTCTAATTTTCTCTTAAATATTATTTATTTTTTTAGGGATTCTGGCTGATCATATAGATTAGACATGACCAATCGAACAGAGCCACATTGCAAAAAATAGCTTCCAGGGGCCTTTCTTGTGGATCATGCAGAAGAGCGGGTTAGAGAGAATTGCCCTTAGGACTGGGCAAATGGGGTCTCTGGCCTCGCCTGTTCCTTAGGCACCCCCTTGCATCTTGAAATACCCTTCTCAACATTTTCTAAGTCTCCCATGAGTAGCTGCAGTCAGTCCAGGCTGGCAGTGCCTGGACTGAGATCCTCATGAGCTCCGTTCTGTTTCTCTCCTTTGGGACTTTCTCCTACCCTCAACCCTTCCTCCCACACACGAAGCCCTGAGGAGCTTCAGGACTCATGTCTGTAGTGTTGTCTTGGGGCCAGGACTGATTCCAGGAGCGTTAGCCCCGGTTAGAGATCTCATGGTTCCCAGAGAAGATGGGCTAGATAGACAATTCAATACTCTTCTTTTTTTTTTTTTTTTTTTTTTTTGGGACAGAGTCTTGCTCTGTCACCAGGCTGGAGTGCAGTGGCGCGATCTCGGCTCACTGCAACCTCCACCTCCCGAGTTCAAGCAATTCTCTTGCCTCAGCATCCCAAGTAGCTGGGACTACAGGCACGCGCCACCACGCCCAGCTAATTTTTATATTTTAGTAGAGACGGGGTTTCCCTATGTTCGCCAGGATGCTCTCGATCTCTTGACCTCGTGATCCACCGCCTCGGCCTCCCAAGGTGCTGAGATTACAGGCGTGAGCCACGGTGCCCAGCCAATACTTTTTTTTTTTTTAACCACACAGTGTGGAAACAGGATTTGAATAACAATGTACTCTTGAGGAATAGAGGAAAGTTTAAGACTGGAGGATGTGGGACCAGTAAAAATATTAAAACCACTTTTATAGCTTTCTTAGTGAGTTAGGTATACTACTAAATGTAGTATAGAAAGACAAGGACAGACCTAGTCATGTTGGTTAAAACTAATATTTTAATTAATTCCATCTGAAAAGAAATAACACAATCTCAAACTGATTTTATTGATTTTTTGATACTGTAAATACTTCCTCATCTTTTTAATTTGTAAAGTTATTTTTGAAAATGCCATCTTATCTAGACAGTGCTAATACACACAAGAAAGTGTTTGTCCACCTTTGAGGCAAGATTGCAAAAAAACCCCACAAAAACCCAGGTGTGGGGATGGCAATGGCAGAGCCAAAGAGCCTCACAAGGAGGAGAAGCAGAAGCTCGTGGGGATTAGGATCCTTCGGGAGCTCTTCATACTTGACGGATTTTGTCAAGTTTTTCCCTTGCTGTCTCTCATGAGCTCACTTCATTTTTAACGAGATTAATTACTTTTAAAAATGCAGGTAAATACAATGCACTAGTGGCATGCAAAAGAAATAAATATTAAGTGTTTCACTTACTTAATATTTTCAAATAAATAAAATTTAAAAAACACTGGGGTCAGGTCGGGTGCAAGTGGCACGCCCCTGTAATCCCAGCACTTTGGGAGGCCGAGGCAAGCGGATCACCTGAGGTTGGGAGTTCAAGACCAGCCTGACCAACATGGAGAAACCCCGTCTCTACTAAAAATACAAAATTAGCCAGGCGTGGTGGTGCATGCCTGTAATCCCAGCTACTCGGGAGGCTGAGGCAAGAGAATCACTTGTACCTGGGAGGCAGACATTGTGGTGAGCTGAGATTGAGCCACACACTCCAGCCTGGGCAACAAGAGCAAAAACTCCATCTCCAAAAAAAAAAAAAAACAGATTCACCTGCTGGAGTTCATCTCCTAGAATCCTTTATTTATGGGGTAACAATGGCCTCTCCACAGGTCAGAGATGTCTTATGTGCCCCCAGGTGGCTGTGGTGCTTCCCTTCTTGATTGTGCCTGGTCCTCTCAAGGACCTAGAGTGGTTTCTTCTCCCTCTGCCCTCCTATTCAGGGCACTGTGCCTCCCTAGAGTTTCCCTGGCTATGCAGGGCTACACCTGGACACTTCATCTTCACTTCCTGCTTTATGCCCCAGATGAGGGGCCCCAGGAGTCCTGTGGCAGGGAAGGTGAGAGGAGCCGGAAGCCAGAGCTGGGGAATGTGCAGATATAGAGGAAGCAAAACTCCAAGTGAGTGTTTGTAAAAGCTTCACTGAATGTTCTCATAAGATTAGCAGGAGGAAAACTGGGAAGCTTTGGGGCTGAGAACAAAGGTGAGATAAAGTTAAGAAAAAAAATTGATTAAGGGAGACATATTTAGAAACTTGAAGTTTCCTCTTTTTTTTTGTCCTCCATTCTCACTACTAGTAAGGAGTGAGACCCTCATTGCCACAGAAGTGTGGGAATGGACCTTCTCGCCTGTAGGTTTTCTTCCTTATGCAGAGCCCCCAGGGCTGAGGAGTTACTCTACATTAGAAAATCGCAGCCTCTACCAACAACTATAAATGTAGTATATGAAGACAAGAACAGAACTAGACATGTTGGCCGAAAATAGGGCCTTTCTCTAGTTCTGTGACCTTATCTAGAGCCAGATACAACTGTAAACAGGGGATCAAATGTAATGATTAAGTGTTGACAGATGCCAAAGGTAGTCTTTCAGTGGCTGTCAGGAAGGATTGTCCAGAATGGAGTGGATTCACAGGCTAAGTACACTGGGAGCCAACTAGCAAGATCCAGGAGAGAGCTACTGCTCCACTGCACTTAGTGAAGGAGGGGAGCTTTCTTCCTGAGTTGCAACAATGACTAAGAAGTCAGGAAACCTGGGGTCTTGTCCCAGCTGTGCCGCTAACTAGCAACAGGCCATGCACAAGTCACTTGAAAAGCAAGAGTTACATTTGGTCAGGGATGGCAAATGTGTTACACATACACCCTTCCCCCTCTCATGCCTTCAATAGAGGCTATTATTCAACCACATCACTGACCAGAATCTTTTTCTACAGTGTTTTGGGTAGGCACTTCCTTTTTTTTTGAGATAGAATTTTGCTCTTGTTGCCGAGGCTGAAGTGAAGCAGCACCATCTCAGCTCACTGCAACCTCTGCCTCCCAGGTTCAAGTGATTTTCCTGCCTCAGCCTCCCTAGTAGTTGAAATTACAGGTGCCTGCCACCACGCCCTGCTAATTTTTGTATTTTGAGTATAAACGGGGTTTCATCATGCTGGCCAGGCTGGTCTCAAACTCCTGACCTCAGGTGAGCCACCTATCTCACCTAAAGTGCTAGGATTATATGTGTGAGCCATGCTGCCTGACCAGCACTTCCAATTAGAGTTGGTACGAAAACTGAAATCTACTTGCTATCCCTCAATTCCATGTTCTCCAAAGTCACTTCCAGCTCTACAATGTAAAGTTCTGACTTTCCAACTAAGAGGTGCCCATTTTTCTGATTTAGTAATAGCTCACTCAAACAAAAAATGAAAATAGAAATTTAGGATCATAATTTCATTGATTCCTCTTCCCCACCCTGAGGCTAAGCAGGATCTTTCTTAGGTTGCACTCACCTTCCTTCTGTGCCAGAGAATCATCTTATTTGAGCTTCACCCCTCTGTCAGTTCACCCTTCATGGCAGTGACCCAGGCTTTAGCTCCCTTTTGTCTAAAAAAGCCCACGCTTAACAGTTTCGTGTTTGGTATCAAGGAATCTACAAGGAAAGGAGTTTTCTCAAGCCCCTAAAAGCTGAGTCAGAAGGGAAGGCATTTAATTACTCCATTCACCGTTCTCCAAAGCTAATCAGATTTACAGTTCTTACCCCTTGCTGAAAAGCGATGCCAGAAACAGTACCTGATGGAACCGCGTCACAAATCAGGTGTTTGCAACTATGTTTTATTAAAAGGAAGAGTGGAGGAATTAACACGGGGCCCACCTCACAACCCACTCTTCACCCCCAAAATCACGCGGGGGTGGGACCCAGGAGCGGGAAGCATGTGTGTGTTGAATAGGAGCCCTAACTGGAGTTACTTCTTTCACAGCAGGGAAGGAAGAGGAGAGAGGCAGCTGTGGAAATGAAGAGGTTGAGGGAGGCGGGGTATCTCACTGCTCTGACCTTAGGTGGAGTCCTCCACAGAAGCATCGAAGTGGACAGGCACATACGGGCTCCCTTCACAGGCCACAATGATGTGTCTCTCCTTCTGGCTGGTCCGGTATGCACAGTTGGGGTACCTGGATCCGTTCGTCAGGCGGCAGTCAGTGATGCGCATGCTGGAGCTGCTCTTGTAGCAGTTGGCCTGCCCGTTCTTGCAGGTGATCTTTTCCTGGAAGCAGACATCCTGGACATCTACCAGGGGCTCGTGCACAAAGGTGTTCACTGGTTTGCACCGTCCCTGTGTCATATTTCGGCGCCTCATCATGTCGTTGCAGTAGGTGGGGTTGCTGCTGGGGGAACCGTCTGAGTCCATGTGCTGCCGCTGGAACTTCTTGGCCCGGGATTCCTTGCCCAGGGAAGGCTGGACCCAGCCCAGCACCAGCAGCACCAGGATTAGCAGAGGGAGCAGGGCGAGGGACTTCTCCAGAGCCATGGTGGCCTCACTTTCCTGGAAAAGCCTAAGTGGGAAAAGGAGAAAGAAGGAAAAGAGGCATCTTAAAAAAAGAACTCCAGCTCCCACCTATGGCTTCCCTGGTTTAGTTTCTGTTTCAGGTCAGCCAGAAAGGCGTCTGTCCCTCTTCCTGAGGTTTTTCGTGTAATGAGACACTCAAGTGTACCCTTCTCCACGAGTGTTTTATTCCCACTCTCCAAAGCAAGGTCTTCCTCCCGTCTCGGTGGTGATCTATGAAGTGACCCAAAATTCTGTCAGTTACTATCTTTTAATACTGGATTTTCTTTGATCCAAAATACATTGTACCCTGTGCTCAAATGGCTCATCAAAACATCAGTTTGAATAAATCATGAGCAAAATTGTATCCCCGACATCCAGGACCTTGGGTGACAGAGCCTTGTTGTCTTACAGCATAAGGGAATTCAGACCAGTGCTTGACACTGGCATCATAAAGGATTCCATTGTATTCCAACAAGAAATGCTGGCGAGCCCCCAACTTGGGGGCTCCTTCTTCTCCAGTCCCATGGATGCTCTGCAGCCTGCACGTTCCACCCTGACCTGCCTGCCCCCAGCTGATTTTGCCTGGGCCACATTTTGTCAATGCTAGCACCATCCAAGCTTTCTCAGTGCTGTGGACTGGCCCTGGTTCCCTCCTCTCCAACCCTGAAGCTGAAGCAGAAGCATCACCTGAGACCACCTCTTGGGCTGCTTACCTTTATCTCCAGCTTGGTGATGGAAGGTAAGCTTCTGCAGTCACTCAGCTGCTGAAGTGTGGACCTTATACAGATTACAAAGGGGTTTGGCTTCCAAGAGGAAAAGGGTGGGAGGAGCATCTCGGGCTCTGTTCAAATAAAATGAAGGACGGTGTGAGGAAGGAGTGGTAAATCACCCAGGCCACCATCTTTCCGGAGCTGCTGGAGAAATAAATTTTTGCCTATATTCTTCCTATGTGAACCACGTCTGTCTGATGATTCACAAGGAGCAGCAGAGAAAGCCACTACAGCACTGATGCCCAAACCTGGCAAACTTGGGACAAAGTCCTTGTTACCTCTTTGTGGACCATGATAAATTTATACTAAATAAATGTATATGTCTTTCTCTTTTAAATCTGCCTTCTTTTATAGAGCCCCACCTTAGAACTTAAGACAGATAAGAAAGGTATTTCCTCTCCTACGTTATCTAGATTTCTCCATGAAACACCCATCATGGCATAGACAAATCAGTTACTATCTTAAGTCAACATTGGTAGGAAAACTTTGAAAAGACAACTGAGCTTGCTTTTGGGGTCATGTATCACCTGTCAAAAATATAACTCTGGAAAAACTGTAAAGTTGGGACATGGCTGGAAACCAAAGCCTCTTTGGACACCTTCAGACTGTTACATGAAATAAAATCTTAGACAAGTGTACATTTTAGCTGAGTTTATTTGAGCAAAGAAGAACAGAACAAAACAGAGCAAACAAAACAAAAACAGTTCAAAAATCAGGCAGACCTTGGAACCAGAGCAAGGTTAGAAACTCCAACCAATGACATAATCTGATAGCATCTATAGGAGACAAAAGAAGCATGGTACAGAGGCAGCGTCATTGGTTACAGCTTAATTGGTTACAGAGTCTCCTGCAGTTAAGCAAAGCTCAGCTACAACGTATCATTAAACGACCCTATTGGTTTAATCTGCTAGGCTTAGTGCAGGAGCCTAGTCCAAATCAATGGCTTTCCATAAATTTTATTTCACAAGACATTTAACTGGCTTTCGCCCTCCATGGGATTTGACCATGTTTTAGATATTGCATGTCTGTTTTCAGGATGAGTTGAAGAATTTCCTTGCCAAAAAGCTACAGCCCTTATAGCCATGAACAAGCAGCTTGATTTTGTGTTTTCAACCTGAGGCATCCTACCTTTTATATCAAGTGACTGAGGCACACACTTTAAGGCAACCTTTATAAAAGAACTCTTACTCAAAAACTACACCATCCTTACCAACCACAAGTTCCTGGAAAAGTTAAAAGGACCCATGACATCCTTAAATTAAAATAAGCAAAAATTTCAGAAATCCTTGAGCTCCCTTGCCCAAAAGTATACCCACTATCCTTTGTGGATATACAGGCCACTCCCTTGGGGACACATAGGTTATCACCCTATGAATTGATACCTGGAAGGTCCAAGCATTTAGAGATTTCACTTCTAATACTAGAGTCTGTCCTACTCCATGCAGACATGACAAAATACTGCAAGGGGCTCATCTATTGTACCCGGTCCTATCACCAACAGGTGAAGGCCCACTTCCTACAAAATCTTCCTAAACAACCTCTCCATGATCCTCACCTAGGGGATTTGTCTACTGGAAGAAAAATCAGAGAAAAACTGCTTTTGAACTTCATTTATAAGGAAGAGACTTTGTCAGAATCTGTTAACAATAGATACAGCAGTGAGACTCCAAGGAACCAATCTTTGAGTTCATGTTTCACAACCAAAAAAGAGATTCAAAATTCCACACAATTAGAAGAGACCACTCCAATTGTGTCTACACCATTGCCAATGCTTCTTATGATACTTAGGTCAAGGACACAGGCAAGGTTAAAAAAGAAAGCCACACATTGCTTCAAAAAAAAAAAGGCTATTAATATTGGATCTCTAAGGTCCTCATGGCCTATGGGATTCGTCTTCTTGGCCTAGGTTAAGCAATTGGAGTTACTGGTTCCAAAGCATCTCAGAGAGACTATCAGTTGTTCTTGTTTTTGTGATAGTGGTCATGATGCTAGTCTGTTCCATTTTATCCAGAGTTTTAAATGTTTCTATGCAGCCACTCTCTCATCAGATGATTGCCATAATGACACAATAGAAGATCAAGAATATCATGCAATACAGTTCACTATGAAGATGACCGAACAATTTAGGAGTGGTGAATATCTGAAATTCTAGCTTTCCCTGAGTTGATAAACTTCTCAGAAGTCAGAGAATGACCAAAAGCAGGGACTGAAAGACTGATCACACAAACGAACAATGGCCAGACCACGTATAAAGCTGGAACTCTGACCTGTAGTCTCCAGCCATAAGTATGAAAAGCCAACCTACCATATACAGCAAACAATCCAGGAAGCCAGACAACTCCTGTAGCAATTGCCCCCAGACAACTAGGGACTTGATTATTCCTATTTATTTTTTCCTTGCTTGAAAGTCTCTCTTATGGAGTTAATAACGGAAAAGTTCCCTAATATTTATTTCCACTTCTCCAAATTAGGACCAATCAGAAAAAAGCCAATATACATCCTTAATCCATCGCATAGGATGCCCACCCACAGCTTCCCCATGCTGCTGTCTGCAACCAGAGCATCCCTGAAGCCTTCCGTGTTTTCCATTGTAAAGATTCTCACTCTCCTGCCTGCTGTGAGTGTCTCCCAAATGCAAGTGATGGTAGTTGCCTGCCATCTTTGGCCAACTCTGAATAAACAGCCTTTGCTTATTCTCATTTGGGTGGCTGTGTTCATTTCCACAAGATCTTGAGAAGAATAAGGAATTGGGTATGTACAGGGTAAGGGTGTTTTTACAAGAAAAGCTCAGGTAATCTGAATGATGTCCTGTCATTAGGCTGGCTCCAAAATCTCAGCACAGCCCCCCAAATACACATGTACAAGCACACACACACCCTATATGCACAAATGTACAATATGCACACACACACACACACACACACACACACACACACACACAAATAGATGGTATTCTGGGATTCCTTCTGAAGCCCAGAAAGTGAGAAAGCAAAGGAAAATTAGAACAGGAAGAGATGGAAAAGTAGGGGCAGACAAAGGGAAGCAAGTGGTGTTTGAAAGTGGAAGGAAGTGAGGGAAAAGGATGGAAGAATTAACCTAAAGAGATCCAAAGCCCATGCTGTCCCATGCCTCCCACCTATTCCCTGCAACCTGGATGCCCATGAAGATAAAGTAGGATAAAGATATAAAGATAACAGCCAAGATGACATCCCTCAACTCATTCCTTTTTTTTTTTTTTTTTTTTTTCAAGACAGCTGTTGCCCATCTCAGCTCACTGCAACCTCTACCTCCTGGGTTCAAGCGATTCTCCTGCCTCAGCCTCTTGAGTAACTGAGATTACAGGTGCCTGCTACCACACCTGGCTACTTTTTGTATTTTTAGTAGAAACGGGGTTTCGCCATGTTGGCCAGGCTCATCTTGAACTCCTGACCTCAAGCAATCCACTCGCCTCAGGCTACCAAAGTGTTGAGATTCCAGGCGTGAGCCACTGTTCCTAGCCAACTCTTCCTCTTGTAGAAAGCTCGGTTCTGGCCTGCAGGGTCCTCTTCCCTTGCGTGCTTAGGCCACTTACTGGCTAATGCTGACCTATGACAGATCAAGGAGCAGAACTGAGCAAGAAGCTACAGTGGCAGAGTCAGAGCCTTTATTTTAAGTTCCCTCCAGCTGGGCACTCTTCCTCTCTTCTTTCTCTCAGTGGCCTCAGACATTAAAGAATTTGGGACAGATACAGTTAAGAGTTCTCAGCCATTTCTGAGGAAGTATGTCTGAGTCTGAGGGTGTTTGAAGGCATGTGAGGGGCAGGAATGCAGCTTCAGCAAAGCTGTGCTTCATCTTCAGGTCTCAGCCTCTCCCTCCTGAGTTCCTTCCCTGTCTCTCTTCTTCCACACATCTACACAGAAACTCCTTGACCAACCCCCAACCCTACCTCTCTGTCTGTCTCTCTCTCTTTTCTTCTTAAGAATCTAGAATTGGCCAGGTGTGGTGGCTCACTCCTGTAATCCCAGTACTTTGGGAAGCCGAGGCAGGCAGATCACAAGGTCAAGCGTTTGAGACCAGCCTGGCCAACATGGTGAAATCCCATCCCTACTAAGAATATGAAAATAAGCCAGGTGTGGTGGCGGGCACCTGTAATGCGAGCCACTCTTGAGGCTAAGGCAGGAGAATCTCTTGAACCCAGGAGGCTGTGGTTGTGGTGAGCCGAAATTGCACCACTGCACTCCAGCCTGGGCAACAGAGCAAGACTCCATTAAAAAAAAAAAAAAAAGAAAAAGAAAAAGAATCTGGAATCATTTAGAGCATAGTGAGACTGAATATACATATTTAAGCCTTATTTCCAAATATAGAATAAAATGTTTTAGCTCCAGGCTGGGCGCAGTGGCTCACACCTGTAATCCCTGCACTTTGAGAGGCCTACGTGGGAGGATCACAAGGTCAGGAGTTCAAGACCAGCCTGGACAACATGGTGAAACCCCATCTCTACCAAGAATACAAAAATTAGCCAGGCGTAATGGCATACTCCTGTAATCCCAGCTACTCAGGAGGCTGAGGTAGGAGAATCCCTTGAACCCAGGAGGCGGAGCTTGCAGTGAGGCAAGATTGTGCCATTGCACTCCAGCTTGGGTGACAGAGTGACAGTCTTTCTCAAAAAAAAAAAAAAAAAATTTAGTTCCTTTTAAAAGGACTTCACTCAATGAGAGTGGATATAACTGAATCATTTTCTTGGGGAGAGCATCTCCTGTCTCCCCAAAATCTCTGTGCAGAAACATGTACTAAGCTGAGTGTGAAGGAATTGGTGTGAGGGGGAAATATCCAATTGCATGAAGACGAAAAA